TTCAGAAATAAACTATTTTATACAAACCTGAAAAAGTAGAACAAAGGTTTCCATGGTCTGTACCCTGAAGGCATTGGAGAAGCATCCTTGAGTGGTACTGGTTGGATGAGCAGTTACACACAGGATTCAGAATTTAAATTTACAGAAAGTTTCTCTGTATTGCTGATCACTCAAATGGTGAACTATTTTTTGCAGATTTTCTGTGACTCTACTGCATGTTTCTTTTGACTCAAATGCTTCTCTATCTACATATATTGTTATATAGGTGTTTATCTTCCTACTACTGTGGTATTTGATGTCTGTCTGTTGTAAGGAGGTTGCTTTTTGGGTTTATTTCAATATAGATACCTTCTCTTCTTGGATTACATCTTTCTTAGTATCATTAATATTTTTCAGTCTATCATTAGTTAATGCTTTCTCATTTTCTGTGGAGAAAATAAGCAAAAAAAAAATTATAATCAAGATTAGTATGATCTATAATGGTAGCAGACTATTTGTTTCTCTTCTTGAAGAGCTATAACCTGGGTAAGATATTCTGCCCCCTCCTCCACTGACTTCTGTATTTTTCTTTATAAAACAACCCTACCTCAAAGATAGGCTTAAGTCATATAACAATAAGAATAATTATTAGGGAACCTGTGAAGTTAAATTCTTTATCGCCTTTTCTGTTTGTGGATTTTGAAGCATTTCATATAGTGGTATAAAGTACAAAAAGTCTGCACGCCACTGATAGCTTTAAATCTTCCCATTCCTTAATTGCTACCCAGGTAAGTAGGATAATTTGCTCCAGACTTATGGCTACTGTGGCAACTCAGAAACTGACTGGAATATTAAGTGGACGGGCTGTAGAGGGTTTTAGAGGCTTTGCTGGATCAGGGGTTTTGTCTGAACAAAGAAATGACATGCAATATCCTGCAAACTGGCTGAAAACACAAGGTGGAAGCAGCTGGTGGGGTTTTGCATTAACTTCCTCAGAATCATAGAATCCTTTCAGTTGGAAGAGAGCTTTAGGAGCATCAGGTTCCACCATTAACCCATCACTGAACCGTGTCTCTAAGCACCTCATTTACTTAACTTTTAATGCCCCCAGGGGTGGTGACTCCACCACTCCCTGGGCAGCCTGGTCCAGGGCTTCACAACCCCTTCTGTGAAGAAATTTTTTCCAAATGTCCAATGTGCCTCCCCTGGCACAACTTGAGGCTGTTTGCTCTTGTCCAATTGCTCCTTACATGGGAGAGGAGACCAGCCCCCGCCTGGCTACACCCCCTTTCAGGTAGTTGTAGAGAGCAATAAGGTCTCCCCTCAGTCTGCTGTTTTCCCAGACTAAACAACCTCAGCTCCCTCAGTCGCTCCTCATAATGCTTGTTCTCTAGACCCTTCATCAGTTTCGTTGCTCTTCTTTGGGCGTGTTCCAACACATCAATGTCCTTGCAGTGAGGGGCCCAAAACTGAATGCAGTAATGATGGAGGGTGTCTCAGTGAGCACTTCTGCCAGCTCCATCAGCACCTTTAGGGTGATCCCATCTGGCCCCACAGACTTGTGTGTGTCTAAGTTGTGTGGTAGTAGGTCACTGGCCGTTTTCTCTTGGATTATGGGGACCTCATTCTGCTCCCCATCCCTGTCATCCAGCTCAGGGGGCTGGGCACTCAGCGGACAACTGGTCTTACTCTTAAAGAC